GATAAGCTATGAGATTGCGGGTTTACAATAAGAGTTACGAACTGCAGAAGGCTTCTATGAACAGAAGCATTCCGATTCAGCAGGAAAATACATTTGATGGGAAAAGAGATCAAGTAAGTAATGTAACTTGCGCCTTTTCCTGACCACAAACGTAGATGTGCTACAAAAGAATGCAAACATCAAGATCTATAATCAAAGGTCAGATCCATTTAACACTCAAGCGGGACTACCTGTCACTACACTGAACAAATTCACATTGGAGCTCATTTTCTAAGGCAGACATTAAATGAGTTTAAGCACGTTGGGTTAGAGATGAATGAACCATAAATAGCTTATTTAAAAGAAGCAACCTAACCAAACCCACAGACAGCCAGTCAATTTGGATGTAGAGTGACTCTATTTAGGATTTCAGAGGCTGTAAATCTTCCCGGGAGCAGATAATTTCTTCTTTTTCCAGACGGGGTTGGTGTATTTGAACGGCTCACCTTGTGGCTAGCAGACCAATGCTTACCCGACCTCACTACCGGAGTGCCTTTCTTTTCTTTTCAAGAGGAAAACAAAAACTCAAAGAGCATAGCTCATAGGTTCCCAAACCACCCCCTTCTTATGGGGAAAAAAAATTACTGAGCCACCACTCCCGGCAATGAAAACCTGGTAACTACAGCCCACAATCCCAGATAAAGTGTCTCCCAGCCCCCTTGGACTATTCCAGTGCCCCACAGGGAGCAGTATCGCCCACTTTGGGAAACACTGACATGCATGGAAAGAAAAATAAATGTTGGAAAGCAGATAAATCAAGTGATTCATTACTCCAAAATTCAATCTATTAAATATATACTTCGTTATTTTGTAGAAAGTCATGTGATCAGGTACAGAAAGTAAAAAAAAAACCTGCTGTAGAAATGATTTAGAGGAAGGTTACTAATCAGATCACTATATAAACTTCAGAACGGGAACAGCGCTGCAAATTATGTAACCAGTGTGCCCCACTGCATGCTTCCCGTGCAAAGTGCCCATTTCTTCCCGTGCCTCAGCTGTCCAAACCTCTTTCCCATCTCTTGGCCACTGAGCACGCTGGCTCTTCTCTCTGAAATACTCTTACACTTGTTCTTTGCACCACTGACTCTTTCTCATCCTCCATTCTCAACTTAAATACTAACTTTCCGATGTGACCCAGTGACCTCTGAGTTCTTAAAGCATCTCCTCTTCCCATTATCCATTTACTTTTTAAAAGGCACTGGTTACCATCTGTAATAATCTTGCTCGTGGTCACATGTACTCCTTCCTGCCTATGAGGTAAGCAACCCGACAGTCAGAAATCTTCATTGCTTTCGGTAGAACACTGTGATTTATCAAAGCTGGAAACAGCGTCTGGCCATGCTAATGTTCACTAACTGAGTGCGGGCATAAGTTAATACTAAGAAATAAGTGACACTTCACAAATTTGGAGGGGGGTAATTTTTTCCTGGTTAAAATTATTATCCACTACGGAAATTTTACCTCTTATTATTCAGTACCATCTCTTAGAGATTTTAACTTCATATATAGGATACCTATTTATTTGAGATAAGATAGCTAAGCATGAGAGATTTATATGTATATATTTTATAACTATTGCTGCCTTTCTGGCAATTTATGATCCAAAAAAGTAACTCAATTCCCTACACCAAAGAAAACATACAGCTCTATGAATAAATTGTGGTTCACTATTTGGAAGGAAAACTAAACAGCTGTTGACAAGAAATCAGGGTAACACGAAGAAAATAAACAAATAAAGCTTTACACCAAGTGAACAATAAGAACCCAGCATCCAAAGCTTGTAAGGCTATAGTAACATAAAGTGGAATGAAGCTCTTCAGGCATATAACTTGCCAACAAGTATTTTGGGTATGAAAATACTTGTATTCATTGACCTGAGTCATCTACTTCTAATCCTTTCTCCTATGGAAATGCATTTATATAATACATGGAAATATCTTTATAAGTAAAGATATTTACAGCAGTGTTGCTTATCCCAGAAAATGGAAAATTTGCCACATTTAGGGAATGGTAAGTTAAAGTAAAGGCAATGATGCATTTAATTAAATACTTTCTAAGAAAAATTTTGGGGGAACACTTTTGAAATAAAATGTTTAGTAAAAAATAGGATCCAAATCAAGTAAATGTAAAAATAAATTAAAATCTTAACAATATCAGAGCCAGGGGAAAATGTTATAAAGTAGCTTATTCAGGAGGTCAACTTTTTATGAATGATATTCTTAATTTCCACAGAAGACGAGGCTTTCAATTCCCGGGAAGGTGGTCAGAATCCCACAGGGACAGCTCTAGCTTGTCCAGTGGGGTCACTATGAGTCAGAACTGACTCCATGGCAGAGAGTGGGGGGTTGATTCTCGCTTTATCCCTTTTTTCCATTTTTACATTTTGCTACTGTGAATACAATATTTAATTATGAAGACATATGTTAAGTATGCCAAAAAGAAATGAGTTCCTTTAAATAGCATTATTTTAAAAGTAAATCAGAATGGCCACTTTAAAGTGTTTCCAACCAGCAAAGTTCCATTTGCAATAAAACTACAAATGCAAATACAATTTTAATAAGTTACCTTTTCTTATTAATTTTTAATAAGTTATGACTTTTCTGTGAAGGTATGAAAATTCAATATAGATGTACTGACTTAAAATAGAACAACAAACATGTTCTAGTAATTCAAATGTGCCTTTTTTCCCCCTTTAAAAAAAGTCGTCAAATTGAATAAAACGTTATACACTAGCTAAATAACAAACAAAATAAAGCAACCAACAAACCAATACTTCGATACTCACAGGTATACAGTACTCCACCATTGGGTAATGCAATTTGTGACCTTTTGCTGTTCGACCAGAGAAAAAGCAACTCTGGCAGACATCATAGTTAAAATGCTTTAGGCTTCTATACCTAGAGAGGAAAACAGGAGAATGCATTGGCTTGCAGACCGAGTATTTAGTTCAAGACAACCATTTGTGGTACAAAACTTCAGTCAGTATCACCATGGAAATAAAAGTCAGAATTCTCACCGACATGAGGTTTATTTAGTGTCTCAGTTCCAAGTTACAATAAAGAGAACCTCAAACTCCACCGGGGAAATAAATGAAATCTCCAGCCAGTAGGGGCAAAAGTTAATTCAAGTTTCTACAGCATGTTTCCCTGCATTCAGCATGATAAGAGGACAGAGACCCATGTGAAAAAAAAAATCTTGTCATGTTTGAATGTGAAGGCAAAATGGCAGAGAAAAGAGTCGCATCCATGAGCTTGAGAGATCAAATTTTAACATGTCAGTTATACCATGAACAACACGTGAATCTCAAATTCCCCTCAAAGCACTGTTCATTTACGAAGGCATTTTTAATTGGGTTTAAAACGAACCATCAGGGGGAGAAAAATGAAAGTCATTAAATAGTCAGAAATAAAGAAACCAACTCAACAAAGCTCTGTCCTTGGTGCATTCCTGAAATGGAAATTGATTTTTAATCTCTCACAGAAGAAGAGCAGTGGATATCAACTTTAGAATCTTATTCTGGTAGGCAAAGGTCTAGCTAGTACAATATCGTCTCTCGATTCTCCATTCTGCCTGCATGGCCGGTGGTAACTAGGAATACGCATGTCCTTTGTCGTTGGGGGCCTCTGAGTGCACTGTTGTCAGTCACTGTCTCAGTCCCTCCTGGGCAGGATCTTCCTCTGTTTTCCTGACCCTTGACTTAGCCAAGTGTGATGTCCTTCTAGGACTGGCTCCTCCTGACAGGTCCAATGTAGGTGAGGTGACTTCTTACCATTCTGGCTTCTAAGAACATAAACTTAAAAACCGACTACTATCAAGTCAACGCTTGGATCACTCACAGTGACCCAAGGCTGTACATTTTGAAGGAAGGGCACATCTTTTTCCCCTGGAGTGGCTGGTGGATTTGAACCACCGACCTTGTGGTTGGCAGACCAACACTTTCCCAATATTGTACAGGATAAGATAAACAAAGTGAAAATATAAATAAAATTTAAGATCGGATGAGGTCAATATTAAATTATTAAGTGCTGAGTAGCTTCTGCAATAACCTGCCATTTATTTCCCTTACTAATTGTTTTTCAAGAAAATCAATTCATGTAAACCTACAGGCATCTTACATCAGCAGGAAAGCTTCCTGGTTTGAAATAATCCTTGACCGATCAGCAAGACTTGACAAACATGACCGGCATCTTTTAAGTGAATTTTGTTTACTGTAGAAAACTCCTGTGTGAGACAGCCTCTCTTCTTCCCTCCATCAGTAGAGAGTTGTCCTCTGAGCGGGCCACGGGCCTGCAGACATACCATTTCTCAACCCTTCTTGAGCGTAGGGGTGGCCAGTGCAACACAAGTTGGGTCCACAGGGTGGAGATTCTAGTGGGGGTTTTATAGGACTGAATCAACTGAGCGAGGTACCCTCTTCTGTACATCCTTCCTGGAAACTGACCTCCCCACTATCTCGTTAGCAAGCAGTGATAAAGATGAACCCACCGCGTGCTAAGAAAGGCAGAGAAGAAGGCAAGATAGATAGAGCTTGAGGCTCAGGAGACCATGGAAATACCACAGCAGTACTGGATTGCTGACCGCGTGGCTTCCCTGATAGAAAAGGAAATTAACCCTCTAGCTTCTTTACTCTAGCAGAAGCAGGTGTATGACATTCTAACTGAAACTATTCTGTGCATCTAAGACCTCACTTAGAAGCAATCAGAGAAAAACTCTGGGAGTGCTTAGAAGGTTCAGGGAAAATTAGTAAGCATCAAAGTAGTAGCATGCAAGAAAACAGTCTGCAGAGAGTCCCGCTCTTTCTAATGCTCATCTCCCTCTATCTTTACTCTCTATTTGGCGTTGGTTCCTTTCTGTAGCTATTGAGAGAGAGCTACCCCTTTACCCAGGAGCTAATTTACCTAAAAGCTAATCAGGCCTACCTATTTCTATTTTGTTCAAATTTGAACTGTATGGTATTTTTACTTGATGGGACAGTTCAATGACACAGATCAGCTTAGCTACTATCCTAATAATGACATTATGAGTAACCATATGATCAGCTTACATTTACTACTGAATGCCTACTGGTGGCATAGCGGTTAAACATTAAACTACTAACCCCAAGGTCAGCAGTTTGAAACCACCGGTAGCGCTACAGAAAAAAGATGAGGATTCCTACTCCTAAAGAATTACAGTCTGGGAAACCCAGAGAGGCAGTTCTACCCTGTCCTATAAGCTTTCTATAAGGAATGAACTCGAGAGCAGTTGGGGTTGTACTCTGCTGGCGGCGGGTACTGATGGCCAGTAGAATTCTCACTTTCCGTCACTTTAAAGAAAACCTGGTTTTGATTCCCAGCCAATACACCTCACCTGCTGTGCAGCCACCACCCAGACAGATTCATTCTTCTGGCAGACCAGGGTAGATTCAACACGCTTTGCCAACACTGAAATTCAAAGGCTTCAGTTCTCCATTCCTCCTCATTCGTTGCTCAGCTATGGCGGGCACGAGACAGGTGAAAATAACATGGCTTGAGAGTCAGGTGCACCTTAGTCCTCAAAGTGACACCTTTTCCTTTCAACACTTTCAGAGGTCTTTTGCAGCAGACCTGCCGATTGCCATGTGTTGTGGATTGCCTTCCTGCTCCTCCCACGGATGTTCACGGCGAATCCAAGTAGAATGCAATCTTTGACATCAAGTTTGTCTTCATTGATATCGACGTTGTCTGTGGTCCCGTTCTGAGACAGGTTTCCTTTCTGTTGGAGTTTCACATTCTCTTCACCGACAGCAAGAAAAATGGTGTCTTCGGCATATCACAGGTTGTCAGTGAATCTTCCACCAATCCTGACTGTCACCTTCTTCATACTGTCCAGTTCCTTGGATTTTTTTGCTCAACATACTGGATGAGTAAGATACAACCCTGACGTAGACTTTTTTGACTGTAAACCATCCAGGATCCCGTTGGTCTCTGGGTATAGGCACAATTCTACATGAGCACCAGGGAGCGCTTAATGCTGTTCATCATCATAACTGCTCTTTCATATTTCTCTTATGACAGATTTCAAATGTATGGAAAGCAGAAGATAATGAGATGCACATTCAGGTCCTCAGAAGCAAGACAGCTTTATTAAATTTTAGTGCTTTGTTAGTACAGCTTTAAACGAATGTTTTACTTTAGAAAATGAACCTTTTAAGTTGTGACCAAATACGGTTTGATCTGCTTTCTTCTCTCTGTGTGCAGTCCTCTGCGCGTTCACTGCATCTCTGAGTTAAAGCAATATTCATAAAAGATGGGCTTACATTAACCAAGCTCGTCCCAAATCCATCTGAAATTCCAGTGGATTCATATTTCATTTTCTATACAGCCTAGCAATATACTTACTCTAATAATCAATATCCTAAATCAAGTGTTCTCTTCTGTTTAATATAATTCAATTATTTCCTAATAAGAACCTTCTCCTCTTTAAGAAAATCTATTACGTTTTCCTTCTCATTCTTTTCTTAAAATATCATATGGCTTAAGAGCAAGGATTCCACAGTTATAAAGATCTGGATTTTGTTTTTTTAAGATCTGGATTTTGAACCCCAACTTTGCATTTGCTTATTGGACACCCGGCCTTGAACAAGCTACCTAATCTCTAGCTTTTAGTTCCTTCGTGATTAAAGTAGACATAATAATGCTGGTTTTCGAAGGTGTACACTAAGAGTCAATGACAATATATGTTCAGCACAGGGCCTGGCATTTCATAAGCATACAGTCGGTGACAGCTATTACTAGCTCTGATGATCCTATCTCTTCTTCAGATGATCTTCACACCAGTATCTTAGGGTTGCCCCTTCTCCAACTATTTTCCTTCTCGCTCTCCAGCAGGCCTTCCACCTTAGCGGTTCCCAGGTGCCTGCTGCAGTTGAGCTCGTGCCATTCTCACCTTCTTTCCCTCATCTGCCCTGTGCCTTCCACTGGGCATCGGCTCTCCAGCTGTTAGGCTTATGATGACCCTGCTTCACCCTGATAAGTACCTGCCTTTTTAGCCTCTTCAACACGTTGCTGGACTGGCATGAAGACCCTCTGCAGGCACGCTGCAGATGATCTTGCAGATACACTGAAGTTACAGAAGGGCTGCAAGTGTGAGCTCTATTTCTGAAGTTAGCCATCTACAGAGAATGCAAAGATGCTCATCCCGACGGATTATGTTCATGAAATCAAGGCAAACGGAAACAATTGTGTTTCACTCAGGACCTGGGGTCCATACACAACAATGACCATCCAGCTGTTCTGATTTGACTCTTCATCAGAGGCCTCTTCTTCACACGGTAGGAAATCGCTGTGCCGGCATGAAGGAAAAGGAGCACATGAAACTGTTCCAGGGGCCTCTGCGCTTCCATAATTAATGCCCTGGCCTCTTCTCCCCACCATAATCCATTGTCATCAAGGCCATCTTACTCATGGCAACCCCATGGGGGTGAGAGCAGACTGTGCCCCCCGGGGTTTTCGATGGCTGATGTTTCACTTGCTCCTCCAAAATTTTGGTGAGCAATGAGCACATTAAACCATTTCTCCCACTAAGAAGTGCTTGCTTGCAGCAAATCTCCTAGAGGTATGTATTAGATTTCTTGCAGAAGAAACACAGTCTCCCTCAGGGGTCAGATGCACAGATAACTTGCCACAACAGGCAAGAGGACTCAATGTGAGACAAAACTTAGGCCCTGAAACAGGCCATGTTGGGGGTTCTGATTGTGACAGACGTAGTTAGGTTAAAACGTAATATCTTATCGTTTGAGCTCCTTTTTCCACCCATAAGCCTGTGGGAATACCCTCTGACCAGAACCATGGATGCGAATAGCCTGGCTATCACGCGGAATGCACTGGAAAGTGACCTGCTGCAGATACCGTTAGGTTCAAATTTAATATCCTATCATTTGATCTCCCTTAGGATCCATTTAGGTTTGTTCTAGTTTTTAATATTTTCTGCTTTCTTTCGATTGAGGATTTTATCTCTTTTGGTATTGTTAGGTTTGGGTCTTTTAAAAATATTTTTAATATGAAATCCGGGATAGCTATATCTATAGAGACAGCAACTGGATTAATGGTTCCTTAAGAGTATGGCAGGGGAACTTAGGGAGAGATGAAGAGTTAGTAACAATAAGTACAAGATTGAAGAAAATATTCTAAAATTGATTGTTCAGCTCTTCTGGAAGTGACTGAACTACTGAATTGTATGACATGGGAATTGTTTGCCGATAAAACTCGGGGGAAAGGCTGAGTTGGAACACATTAAAGTGTGGTGGTTGGCCAGGCTCCTCCCATGAAACGCCAAAAGTAGGCTTGAGACGCTTGGCAGAAGTAAAGAAAATTAATCAGGTTGCTTCTGTTAGTAACTAAAGGTTGCTTTGTGCTCACTAACATTGACCTTCATGTCTCAGGACAGCACCTAATTCCACTCGGGCCATTATTCATAATCAGTCATCCAATTACTGTGCATGAGCATTTCCATGATACGAATGAATAGAAACTCATCAACAATGGCTAGCTCTAGAGCAAAGTAGCAAATAATAATTATAATAAGTTTCATGCAGTGCTATTAGAAGCAATTACCATTTTTCAGATGGATAGACTACACTGAGCATCCTATTTATTTAGAGGAAAACGCCCTAAGCAGGCATAAGTGGGACAACCATAAAAATGGGACCGAAAATAACTCCCTGTAACTATTAGTCATCGGTTGTCTTACCGGAATCCAACAATTGGGCATTCTTTACAGATGTTGCATTTAGCCTGATGTTTTGCAGTCTCGGCGGCTGCCACTCGATGCAAAACGGGCAGCCAGACCATGGACTGGGGCTCCAGACGCATCCAGTCTATGAACTCTTTCACACTTATCTCCGGTTTGTTGTTGTTCTGGTGAGGAAATACATAAGGTTGCAATGAAAGAAATGTCTGCACTTTAGCTGCAGCAGGTGTGTGCGCTTCACAATCATCTGCTAATCCGTGCAGAAGTAAAGGAAAATTGCACAGATCGGGTCAGGTACATGAAGCTTCAAAGTCTTTAGGTCCTTCAAGGCAAGAATATTCTACAAGTGCACGGCTGAAAAAAGCAGCGAAGACACCCAGTTGATAAACATAAGAAGGAAAGAGGAAGAGCTCCACCAGCGCTCCACCGGAGAAGGATGCGGCTGTCTGGTTCCAGAACGAACGTCTTAAAGTATCGGAAATCCTACACAGGGGCGCTAGGATCTGGGATTGACTCGGTGGCATTGGGTTTGGTTGTGATGTTTGCATCTGTACACATCTGTACATATGGCCCTGTCTTGGGTTAACTGGCTCCACTGTTCTCAGCGAGGGGGGCTCTAGGTCTAAAACCCTCTGGGTTTTAAAAGCAGAGGCTGGACAGACAGAGGCAGGAAGAAGACAGACTACAGAATCAGATTTACCAGGATTGCTGACAGTTACCAGAAACCAAAATAGAAAAGGACCTCGCCCCTGGTGCTATGCCTCAAATTCAGACCTTTAGGTTCTGGACACGCGAGAAAATAAGTTCCATTCCTGAAAGCCACCTCTTCATGGTGTTTCTGCAACAGCAGCGCTAAGAAACAAAGGCCTTCAAAAAGTTTGTGGACAAATGCAATCGTGAGACAATGGAAGTTTTCACAAACTTTTAGAAACCCCCATGTGCTGGTGTGCATGCACGGGGAGGCTTCAAAAAGTTCACTGGAAAATGAAGTTTAAAGATGACGGGTCCTTTCCATGCACTTTTTGAAGCTTCTTTGCATCCAGACACGCAGCACACACGCAGAGACCTTTGCCTTGGTGGAGCTCAGATTGAGGGGGACGCCAAACAAACAAGGAGATACACGATTCAGTAGGAAATTGCAAAGAGCACTGAAGGGAGAGGTGGGAGTCAGGAGGGGGCCCACAGCCCGTAACCTCGCGTGAAGGCGTCACGTAACAGTGTGCCGAGGAAGTGCCGTTTCAGCTGGCCTCTAAGCGGTTTGCAGGCAGAAGGTAAAGGTGTGCTCAGGAGAGGACACATGTCCAAGGTCCCGAGGCAAGGATCAAGGACCCAGAAGAAGGCAAGAAAGTAGACAGTAAGGTGAGCACGTGAACTCCCACCTCGTGAACGCTGCTCAACACGCTCCTGGGCGCCTCTGTGCTTACCTGTTGGAAGCAGCTTCGGACGCTGGGCTCGATATTACTGCCCCCGAAAGCCGCCACTTCCCCCAGCTGCCGCGGGATCTGGATGGCGTCGTGAAGTAACAGGCCCAGCTGCCGCTGGTCACACATTTCTGTCGGCCCGGCCACTTCCTTAAAGAGATCTACAAGGAAGGAGAGGCCAGGGGTTAGCCCTCTTCCGCCCACTGCGCTCTGTGGCTTAAAATGCCCCTATGGGGAGGCGAGCTGGGGGGTGGGTGGTGGGTGGGCGTCCATGAGGAACACAAGTCAGGGGGACAGTCAGAAGAGTTGTCCAGCATGGCAACACTGACCACCTGGGCAGTTCTCATGAATATTCAGAATATCGGTGACTAGGGCTCTGGCTAACCATGTTGTTACGAAGAACCATGTATTAAAAAACATGTTTTCCTGAATCTGTCCCAGCTCATGGTGACTCCAGCGCATGGTGACTCCACGTGTGTCAGAGCAGACGTGCTTCATTGAGTTTGCGGGGCCGGATTGGTCAGCTCTTTCTCTCCAGACACTTCCGGATGGACTCATTACAACCTTGCAGTCAGGAGCACCCCCAGAGCCACGCACACATATAAATAGACGGATTACTACAAATTGTCTTTTTCAGTGGAATAAACCCATGACACTGTAATTTATACTCTCAATAAAGATCTCCCTTCTTGAATTGGAGCATATGCTCACACCAAAGTACCCCTCTCAATATATCAGAGCAATAAATGGACCTTAAGTAACAAATCTTGAAATATTGTCGGACTCCTTTATCAACTTTGTCTTTACTCCTAGTGTTCTATTACATATATATTTTTTGGCTTCTAGCCCTGGTGGCGTACTAGTTGAGTCTCGGGCTGCTAACACAGCGTCAGCAGTTTGAAACCACCAACCACCCTGAGGGAGAAAGATGAGACTTTCTACTCCCATAAAGAGTCACAGTCTCAGAAATCCACACAGGCAGCTCTCCCCTGCCCTAGGGCAGCGGTTCTCAACCTCCCTCATGCCGCGACCCTTTCATACAGTTCCTCATGTGGTGGTGACTCCCCCGAACCATAACATTATTTTCATTGCTACTTCATCACTGTCATTTTGCTACTGTTATGAATCGGACGAACCCTGTGAAAGGACCGTTTGCCCCCCAGGGGGTCGTGACCCACAGGTTGAGAACCGCTGCCCTAGAGGGTTGCCACGTGTCAGAACTGGCTCACCAACCATGAGTTTGGTTTTGGCTTTTTAAGTTTATTGTTATTAAGATAACAATATTCAAATTTATTTTTAAGTAACACTAAAAAGAACAAGAAGGCATCTTTTATTTTTAAGAGAACATCACAGTATCAGTTATAAAAAGTACTTTTGCATTACTCCATACGATGAAATACGTTTGTACAAATTTAAAGGGCTTTTAAGAAAATGTTGCGTAAAAGCCACTTTTTCACTTAATTTCTTATAAGAAAACACTGGTCTGTTTTATAATATTCTTGATGGAAGAACAATAGCTCTCATTTCTAGTATTTGCTTAGCTTCTATTTACCATTTTGAAGAGTAAAATGGTTGCCATATTTCCTGAAATACATCAGAGAATGTAAATATGTTATACCTCAAGTATGGAGAATTTTTACATTAAACCAGTCCGTTGTATTTCCTGAAATACATCAGAGAATGTAAATATGTTATACCTCAAGTATGGAGAATTTTTACATTAAACCAGTCCGTTGTAGTATAAAAATCAATAGTTTTTGAAATGATAATTCCTAGTTCTGAAAAATAAAATCGAAATGTTTTGTATATGATGTTTTCCAGGAAAACTGGGCAAACATTTAATGGATCATAAAAACCAGTTTTGAGCATTAAATGATATACAATGGTAGGTCCAAAGACGGGGCTAGTTTCTTAATACGTCTTCTACTTTTGAAAAATCAGCCAATAAAACCTGATGGATCATAAGGTTCCGGTCCCATGGTGTATGCAAGCATTGCGTTGGGGCCAACTCCCTGGCCATGAGCAGTAATACAATCCCAGGTCTAACACTGTCAAGGGTGTATTGTCAAACCACCGAACCAAGCTTGGTAGTATCGACACAATCATTATCATGAAATATGACTTTAATTATAAACATACGTTGGGAAAGAAAATTCAATGAAGATAAATGCAATATTATCATCTGTTGTTTCACACAGTTTAGAGTTTTACTGTTGGTTTCTTTTCCCTTCTAAAAAGTAGCCCTATCAGAGCCAAAAAATATTTATCCAAGATTCTTATACTGCTCATTTAAAACCTATTACAAGAAAGAGACTTATTAGGTAAATACAGAGTTGAAACTTATGTTTAATCATCTATAAGGGGCATTGTACATTTTCACAGAGCTCAACTGTGCCCAAGTTTTGTTTTTGTTTTGTTTTTCGAGGTAGAGAACTAGATTACAATCTATGAAGACAAAATCACTCACACGGCATAAGGGGGAAAAAAGAGCCTTAACAGTTTGGCATAGGCCTGAATTCTTCTGGAAACTGTGCTTTGATGCTGCAGATAGAGTTAAGAAGCAGGTGTTAGACATGGAGACTGGGTCCGAGGAAAGTCATTGTCTAAGACTTGCATCCCAATCAGTCAGGGCCCATGAGATGTAATTGGCCAGTGAAAAGGATGGCATATGAATGTCTGTTTGATGAGGGCAGGGAGCTGACCAGGACAGCCAGGATACTGTTCAAACTTAATCAAGGGATATTCTCATAAAGGCATGAAGAGCAAAGGAAGGGTCACAGGGGTGATGTTGGCCATGGTCAAAATCAATACTCAGGTGGATGCCAGCTGACCCGAAGGCACCTCTATCGTTGGGTTTAGAGAGCAAATTACCTTGAATATTCATTCTAACGAAGCAAATAATAATGAGGAAGTGTTTTAATCTCACTGGGGAAATCAAGACTGGAATCAGAGCTGCCGAGGACCTCCAACTGAAAACAAACCCGACCTCAGAGCATCTCTCGCTTCTCAGCCCTCTCAGGAAAAAAAAAAAACTGGATTAAAGATTTCAACCCCAGAGAGTTGTTATTTAATTAAGTCCTAAAATGGCATGTTTAACGGATTAGATGAAAATATCAGAAATTCTCAGTGCAGGAATGTTTGCTTCTTCTTCCACCATCTGAAAGATTAACATTGAATTTTATTACGTATTACGCTTCCTGGCATTAGTAGAAAGCATTTCCATTACAGAAAAGGAATAAACTGCCCTTGCGTGGGCCGCAGCACACTTCCTGGGAAAGCCTGTGTTTCCGAGCTGCAGGAGCACAAGTGTGCGTGGACTAACGGGCAAGTTGCTGTTTAGCTGTCACCTGGTGTAGAATTCTTTTTTCTTTCTTTTTTCCCTCCGCTGCTACACTCTATTGCTCCTTTTAAAAAACATTTTTTTGGCCTCGGGTTATTCCCTGCTCACTGTTTTAAAAAGAGAGGGAGGAGGAAATCACTAATCTGGAAAAGTAAATGAAGCATTTTTTTTAAAGCTTCTGAACTAGAAGCTGAACTGCCTTCGTTTCAGAATAGATGCCATATTCTGATACAACTGTTTCTGTCAGAGAACCCAAATTCTACATGCTGCCCAGAGCCCAGGAGACCCAAACTCAAGTCACTAGAAACAAAACAAACAAACAAATGCTGTCAATTTTGGTATACTGATGCTCTCATTAAATTTTCATCTCTTATTTGTAAAACACTTTTTTTTTTGGCTTTGGAAACTCAATCTACTGATAACTCTGCTGGTGGAGCCCCTTCGCTCCGGGATAAAAGCAGCCCCACAAGACAAAACAGCCGCGTGCAAAGCTGCTGTGGCCCGGCTTGCTCAGCCCACAGTCCATTAAGGAAGCTCACCTCCTGATCCCACAATCAGCTTTTCATTTCACACAAATCCACATCCCTCCTCACCGATACATCTGTCAGACTATAGAAGGGACACTCGAGACCAGAATTCAAAATCAAATAGCCTCAGCAAAATAACACTATTTTATAGATATACTTTAAAAGTGTGTGTGTACTCTTTTAAAGTATGTATGCTCACATCAGAGCTTAAATTGTGAGCGCCTGGTTTGCAGAAGGCTATAGATGGCGGTGGAAACCCAAAATCTACCTGCAGAGTCCCCACGCAGATTAGATTAAGTCTATGAAGAATCCGCTCTGACCATATTCAAGGGATGTGAATACCCTTGGTATCAGCAAGAGAACATTGTAACATCGAATATGGTAGATGTAGTTAGGTTACAATGTAATACCTTATTATTTGATCTCCCTTTTGACCCATTTTTAAAGTTGTTTCCATTGTTAATATTTTCTACTTTCTTTTTGACTGAGGTTTTTCTATGCTTTGCCTAGCCATTGTTACTGTTTTTGGTTTTGGCTTGCTTCCTGTGTGTGTTTTGTATGACTTTCGGTCTATGAATTCAGGAGAGGTAGCTCTACAGACAGTCACTGGATAGGGGCACGGCAGGGGAGGATGAAGGAAACGGGGAGCTAACAACAACGAGCACGAGAAGAAAAGGCTCTGAAATCGACTGTGGTGATGATGGCCCAAATCTCAACAAGATCGAACAATTAAATCGGATGATATGTGAAGTAAAGCCGACACAACTATTCTAAAAATTCTGTTGGTGCCAGGTCTAAGCAATCACTTGCTAACCTAAGTTGGAATAGACTCTCCAGCACCCACCCACAAGAACACGCTCATGTCGGACAGAAAACATACGAAGTGAACAGGGTAAAACTCACTGTCTTCAAGTCGATATTGACTCCCAATGGCTCAATAGGACTAGCAGAACTGCCTCTGTGGTTTCTGAGGCTGTAAATCTTTAAGGAAGCAGTAAGCCTCATCTTTATCCCTAGGAGAGGCTGGAGTACCTGAACTGCTAAATTTGTGGTTAAAGCCCAACGTTCATAACCCACTACTCCATGAGAGCTCCTAGTTTACAAGGCAGACAGATCAGTTTGTTGAGGTTGTTTGGTATCTTTCTGTTCATAATGACCTCTGTTGTTCTCCCCACGGAGATGGGCATATCTGTAAAGAGGAGGTGCCAGGTGATGCAAGCGATTACTGTTCTTGGCTGCTAATCAAAAGGCTGGAGGTTCAAGACCATCCAAAGGTGACTCAAGGGAAACACCTGATGCTTTACTTTCAAAACAGCAGCCACTGAAGATTCTACTTCGCATAGTTTTGTGACACACATGGAGTTGCAATGGAACAGAATCAATTAATGGCAACTGGTTCATTTTGATCTGGAAAGAATCACTCAGGAATATGCATGGTGGGGTAAAATTACTCACAGTTCATGGGCCAAATTAAGTCAAAAGATATTTCATAGTAGTGAAGCATTTAGGGACATAGCAGCACTGCTATAATTTATGCAACAAGGGCTATCTCTTGACTCTTTTTCAGCATGTATCTCTAAATGTCTGCAAAACAGGAATGGTCAGCTTCATTTCTGAGTTGAAAATTTCCGCTTCCTAAACCTCTGGCCTCCCAGCATTAAAGAAGTCACATCACCCTGCCCTAAAGCAAACTGCCATCAGGTGGTGGAACTGAAATTAGAACACCTAGCTCCCTGTGCCCATTCTGGGAGACTAACGCTCTTCATAAACTGGCAATTAATAGGGCACTACTGATTTATGTGGTAGATGGGAGTTCCAAAATCGTTACCATTTTTTATATATTGTCGTTACTAAGGTGCCCCGGTGGCATAGTGGTTAAGCATCAAACTGCTAACTGCTATGAAGCCCAATTCTCTACGCCTATAATGAGTTACAGTCTTGGAAACTCACAGGGGCGGTTCTACCTTGTCCTAGAGGGTCGCCATGAATTGGCATGAACTCAGTGGTAGTGACTTTGGTTTGGGGTTTTATACTACCCTGTCAGGTTTCCGTACAGCGGTAGCTTGTGTGCTGTGGTGATGCTGGAAGCTAGCTACTGGTATTTAAGATACCAGTACAGTCTCACATGCTGGGCAGGTTTGGGGGAGCTTCCAGACCAGCAGAAAGGCCTGGAACTTTACTTCTAAAATGTAAGCAGTGGAATAGTCTGAGAACTCCATTTGCTTACTATGAAGAGACAGGTTATTGGAGGGGACTTCATGTTCAGTGTAGAACTACCAAGCCTAGGAAAGTCTTCAATAAGATGGATGGTTTCAACAAAGGTCTCACACAGACCAACAATCAGGAAGTGGTACAAAATCTGGCACCGTTTCTTTGTGTTCTCCGTGGGGTCTTGTGAGTCAGGGCTGATGGCATGGTGGATGGCAAGAATAATGCGGAAAAGGTTCTAATCGACCTCGTTATTATTATTTTTAAGCATACAGAAACAGAAAATGTCTTGGCCTTCAGTCAGAAAAATCTAGTGCTAGCCCAACCACTTACTAGCTAGGTAGATTCTTCACCCAGCACAGCATAAACTTTCTTGGCTGGAATATGGAAACTCTAATACCTACGCTGTGGGGAGATCATACTAAGAATTACATACAATACAACTAGTAGTGGGTCGTCACCCTAACGAGGCAACTCTACTCTGGAGCCCATCATCACAGAGTTCCCAAACTGCTGGCACCAGCACTGTTTGTCTGGCTTGGTGCATGCCTAATAAAGGTTAAAAGATGAAAATGATCATGATACACAAATCCTACAAAGGCAATCCCCAACAAATCTTTAGCCTTATTATAGATAAAAATACTACTAGTGTAGGGCATGGTCTTACATCGGTATTTTTCTTCTAAGAGACCTTTGGAAAGTGACATCAATCCAATCTTCAGACTCTGCACTCTTATTTTTCCAGTCCGTCCCCTGAAATTATAAGCATTTCAATGTCAGACATAGTTCAAACTCATAGAAGTATATGAGTTATTTCTTAATATTCATTTTCTTGAAAGGAAGTCATTAAAAACAGTCACATCTTTTAAAGAAATCACTAAATTTCACTATTTACCTTTACCTTATCTATACATTTGACAATTAGTTGTTATGAAACTCAATTCTGTAATTTCATGACATTTTAGTGATGTGTTTCATCTATTATGAAAGAATACATAGTCTGAAGTCACACAAAAACACAGGTGTTGAGAATGAATTATGCAAGATAGAAACTATAGTTATAGAACTGAAAATATTTTAATTTATAAATATTATAGCTAAAAGTTGTCTGTAAATGATAAATGCAAGACCTAAAATAGCTACTATATATAAACACACATGTGATTTCCTAAAGTAGCAATGACACATCTAAAAACAAATGTAAGACAATTGATTAGATACCAACCAAATATCAAAGCGTATTGAGCCTTTGAAGCTTGCGAAATACTTAAAATGTACTGTCACCATTTATTTTGGTCTCTGTCAAAACAGTTTGAATAAATGACTATTTCATAAATTAAGATTCAATGTTCTCAAAGAGACAGGTGTAGAATTCTATTTGGGGAAACATAAAATTTTAACTAAATACAAAATATATTAATTAATGAACACTAGGGAATAGTTTCATACTATGCACAGGAGAGAGCATTTCAATTCTACATATAAGTTGACTGGGAAAAAACAAACAAACAAACAAACAAACAAACAAGCCTGTTTTTATAAACAGAGAGGTTTTTTTAAATTCCATCAGTTAAAAGGAATTATATGAATTGTCGACCCAAAGACTGTCACTGTACAAGACCCTGGGAATGGAGAAAAGGGAATGCAGAAGCTACCAAAAAAATTAGTAAAAATTAATCCTTATTATAGAAGAGCAGTGAGTCGGGGGGGAGGGGGCCCAACAGGCCTTTATTGGTATCCTAGCTGTTTGAAATTCAGATTCCTTTTCCAGTCTAGATAGTTACTATTATTTGCTTACAACACAGTTTCTCAATACAATGATACGCTTAAAACCTACCAGTAAAAGTATACCAAACTAAATCAATATGAAAGAGTTTCAAAATGTTTGTGGAAAATAGAATGGAGAGATAATGGAATTTTTCCACAAACCATTTGAAGCAACCTGGTACATCATGCTTACTCATGTATGCCATTCAAAAGAACATGTAACTACACTCTTATTATTGGGTGTAGTTCACTGTTTCTCAATCTGGGCAATACTGCCCCTTGCAGGCACTGGAACAATTCAAGAGGGCTGTAAAAGCAGATACCTACACTTTATCCTGGATTATAGGCTATAGTCTAAAAGTTCTCCTTTGCCAGGGGGGCAATGAGTAATTATTTCCCCCTGAATAGGGGGCAGTAGGCCAAATATTTCTGGATGCCTGTGTTGTAATGAGTTGTGGTTAAATTGATGGTCACCCCATGGGGATTTTCAAGGTTCTCTCGTTCAGAAGCACACCAGCAGTCATTTCTTCAAAGGCATCTCTTGGAGAATTTGAGATGCCAACGTGTCAGATAGTGGTTGAGCACTTAACGATGTGCAACATCCAGGGGGCTAAACTTCAACATAGGTCAGTACTGACTCAATGGCAGTGCGGGTGATTTTGAGTTTTTAGTAGTAGTAGTATTAATACTAATATACATTCTTACATTCTCAAATTATAGATATGGAAGTAAATGTCTGTCTAAGTGCTATGACACATAAAGTGTGAAATATATATGAAAAACTTGCTTAGGCGTTGGTAAAATATACTGTCTAAACAGTCTCTTCATAACACAGAGTTTACAATCTAGACACAATCACTTCCAACCAATTTCTTGAACGTCCTTACTATGTATGCAGATTGACCTGAAAAATAATTCCTAAATAGGTGAATAGTCATTATAATAAAAATTTCTAAATTAATATACAGCTTAGTTTCCCATAATTGTAGAAGCACTAGCTTCAAAATAACCCTAAACTTAACAAGCAGGCTATACATTTCTATTTTATGTCATGAGACCTTTTCTAATGATCAAATGTACACAGACGATCTGTTTTCTTCCCTTCAAAACTCAAATTTTTATTCTCAAAGCACAACCAGTGGATCCGCAGAATATAACGAAAGGTTGTGTCGATGGATTAAGACTTGAAGCTGAACGTGGCTCAGGACAAAGCAATGATGGAAGGGAGAACTATCCCAGGAATATGCATTATAGACCGTGATCGCAGTCTATTGCAACAGAGCAAGAAAGGACCATCATCAGGAAGACTATTGAATGTGGCCGTCACCGTTCACCGCCCGGTCAACGTTTGTAAAGGCTCATTCTGATCTTACCGTTGTGCCTGCAAGTAAGCAGCCCACAAACTAGCTGGGGAGGTAAGACAAGACAGAAAACCAGAGAATCGTTGAAAAACACAAGACCAATTTTCATGGAAATAAAGAATCAAGTGCAAGATCGCAGGGGCTGGGATGTCATTAGTTTCACAACAGGTAATAAAAGAGAGAAGCCTAACACTGGATCTTGAAAGCAGGCCCCGGCTGCAATGCTCCAGGCAGCAATCTGAGTGTCAAAGGGAAAGCCCAAGCACGGGCACAGAGGCAGGTGTGCAAGCACCTGGGACCAGGCTCATCAAGGTTAGGGGGCTGATAAAGGTGTACGAGTTATATGACGTCGAGTGATGGGGGCTTGCCTCCTAAGTAACATGTCTGTATGAGAGAGACAATCAGGGGGCACTAAAGTATCGTATGACTGTAATTCCCTGATAGTTTATGTAAGGGACACTTGAAACCATTTAACTGGAAAGATATGCAAGTTATAAAATTGAAATTATATGCATCGTGGAATACGGGAAAAGAACACGATTTAACACAGCAGTAAACAAGGTTACAATTTTCCGGGGGGACAAAATATTTAATCTGATTGCTCCAGACTATTCCTTCAAATCATGATTTAAGTACATAAGTTCCATGAAATCTAGAAGGAGTATTGGGAAATGAAGACATGTTTAACCTTGGAAGATGACAACTGAGCAGAGCTGTGAATTCAAAAAGGGAACCACCTCTATCTTTATAGCACACGAACTCTTTTTTATACATATATTAGTGCATTTACCCTTCCCGGTCACCTTTTATGTGGCAGGCAGATGAAATATTTTTATCTCAATTTTTCAGATGAGAAACTGAGATGCCAAAAGGTAAGAAGTTGCTGCCAAGTCACCCAGCGGCCAGCAGTGGGGCTCTGACGCCTTGTCACCCACAGCAGGTGAAAACAGAGTCCCAGGCCCCAACAAAGTGTAGGGCATTAGGAGGAGGTCCTTAGTGGCCCGGGTGGTGTAGAGGATTACAGGGTGGGCTGCAAACTGCAAGATCAGCAGTTCAAAACCACCAGTCGCTCCTTGGGAGAATGCAAAGGTTTTCTGCTCCCGCAGTGGTTCACCACCACAAAAACTCACAAGGCAGTTTCACCTGATCCTGTGAATCGGAATCGACTTGGCGGCAGTGGGGACGTACACGTGAAAATAAAATTTCCACAAGAAAAAGAGCACACAGTTTGCTGTTGTTGATGTTAGGTGCCCAAAAGTGGGTTCTGCCCCCTAGTGATTCCATGTAGAACAGAAGGAAATGCTGCCTGGTGCTACAGGGGTTGTCAGGCTTATCCCACTGTTGTACTCGGTGTCCGTCCTTCCTGTCGAGGGTCTTCCTCTTTTTCTTTTTTTTTTCTCTGAAAAATAGAACCTTGTTCAAAGCAAGGTCCTTCTTTATTTTCTCCCCCCACCCTGATGGCTCCATTCTTCTGCTTTCAACTGAAGTCCTTTCTAGTGTTTTCTCTTTTTTTTTTTTTTAACATTTTATTAGAGGCTCATACAACTCTTATCACAATCCATACACACATCAATTGTGTAAAGCATATTTGTACATCATTCTCAAAACATTTTCTCTCCACTTAAACCTCCGACATTAGGTCCTCATTTTTCCCCTCCCTCCCCGCTCCCCCCTTCCACATGAGCCCTTGATAGTTTATAAATGGGTATTTTGTCATATCTTGCCCTGTCCGACGTCTCCCTTCACCCACTTTTCGGTTGTCTGTCCCCGAGGGAGGAGGTCACACACAGTTCCATGTAATCGGTTCCCTCTTTCCTACCCATTCTCCCTCTACCCTCCCTGTTTTGCCACTCACACCACTGGTCTTGTAGGGCTCATCCGCCCTGGCTTCCCTGTATTTTCAATTCCTATCTGTACCAGTGTACATCCTCTGGTCTAGCCAGACTTGCAAGGTCGAATTCGAGTCATGGTAGTGGGAGCAGGGAGGAAACATTTAGGAATTACAGGAAAGTTGTATTTCTCATCGTTGTTACATCGCACCCTGACTGGCTCATCTCCTCCCCGAACCCCTCTGCAAGGGGATCTCCAGTGGCCTACTAATGGGCTTTGGATCTCCACTCCGCACTCCCCCCATCATTCACTATGGTAAGATTTTTTGTTCTGATGATGCCTTATACCTGATCCCTTCGACACCTCGTGGTTGCATAGGCTGGTGTGCTTCTTCCATGTGGGCTTTGTTGCTTCTGAGCTTGATGGCCGCTTGATTACCTTCAAGCCTTTAAGACCCCAGACGCTATACTTTTTGATAGCCGGGCACCATCAGCTTTCTTCGCCACATTTGCCTATGCACCCATTTGTCTTCAGTGATGCGTTTGACACCTCTTTTTCATTGACCTTCTACTTGACTCAGGGTGACGTCCACTTCCTAGCGTCACACTTCAGATAAGCCACATTCCAATTCTTCACGAGTGCTTGCAGCGATTTCTTCTCATTATGAACTGTGCCCCATCAGCAAATGAAGATCCTGATGGTTTTACTTGCATCCAAGTCAGTAAGGGCGACTACACTACAACTGTGAAGATCTGTTGTCTTGGAAACGCTGTACAGGGTGGGTCACTGTGAATCAGAACCGACTCAAGAGCAGGAGGTCTGGGTTTGGAGTTTCTACTTTAATGAAGCAGCTCAGCCCAACAACCAACCCCTTGATCATACTTTGAGTGCCTTCCCACCTAAGGGGCTCATCTCCTGGCATTATTATCATAAATGTTTCACTGCTATTCATAAGGTTTTTCAGAGGTCAAATGTTTTACAAGTCGACTGCCACATCTTCTTCCTAGTCTGTCTTAGTCTGGAAGTTACACTAAAACCTGTTCATTGTGGGTGACCCTGTTGGTATTCGAAATGCCAGCAGCAAAGCTTCCAATCCTACAGCAACACATAAGCCACTACAGTGAAACCAGCTGAAGAAGTAAACAGTCTGTTTAAAAGAGTCGATATAGTACTCTATTTCCTAGATATGGAAACATGCTGGGAATAATCAAGTGATTATCCAAACTCCTCAATCGTCATTCTCTATCTACTACTAACATGCAATGGGTGCCTCTCGGTACACTCTCTTGTCTCAGTGAATCGGTATCTCAATCAATAAAACAAGGAGGGCAGAATGGACAATATCCAAAGCCCTTCTAGTGCTAGATGTCTATGATGTAGAGAGTGTGTCATTCACTATTCTAAGAGAGGTCGAAGCTGAAAATAGAAGTACTGGGCTGCATCACACTACAAAAAATAAGGCAATAAAAAAAAAACAGTTAATGACTGAGTGTCAGAATAGCTGATGAGAGGAAGTGTTAGATCTGTGTCATTCTCAAGGTCTCCAGATTTCAGGAAGGTCCATACGCTTCCTGGGGCTTTGGAGGGAGGATCGGTCTCCATCAGATTCTCAAAGGGAAGTGTGGCTTGAAAGGAGTCAATAACTTTGGTCAGATAAATGCATATGCCAAAGTCATCAGAGATATTTGACAAAGCTGGGCTGATTTGTACTCTGCCCAGCTGAGATTACTGTCTAACAGTATCTGATAGCACGTCACCATGAAGGACTAATTTTTAGAAAAAACATTGTTTTGGTAAAATAGAGTGTCGATGAAAATGAGAAAAGCCATCCAGGATGGATACAAGCCTCAAAGAATAGGTTTAAACATGCCAACGATCATGAGGCTATCCTGGAGCTGGGCAACATGTCATTGTGTTACTCACAAGACAGCCACCACTCAGAACCAACCTCATGGAAGCTGACAGCACCACCGCCAGGATCTGAGACTAAGAGCCAGAATGACCGCACACCCCTCTGAGCCAGCGTGTCTTGCTGCATTCCTTTGAGTCAAGAATTACGGCTTTCATTGAGGAGGCATTTCAAGATATTATCTTTCTAAATAAGAAATATAGCTTCAATTGTTCTTTTTTTTAATGAAGGAGACATTTCAAGATATTGTCTTTCTAAATAAGAAAGTATCTAAGAATAGCATTCCCCATGTGTCCATGTCTGATGGCGGAAAGTGGGAAAATGCCACCATTTAACCAATTACCTAGAACAAGGATCACAACCGCTCCCAAACTGCTTCCTCTCCATGTAAGCAGTAGGTCCAATATTCATTGTAGTAAAAGAAACACTCAAACTACCTGTTTTGTGAGTTTTTAAGAGCCCTCAGCACACAATACTTACTGATTTTTTTGTTCTATTTGTCAATGTGGAAAAATATTTTCCTAATAAAAACAAGTAAAGTTTTAGCTGAACTATCTGTAAAGCAATTCAATCATCATTGACTTCAAATTCAGAATCAACTCGCTGCTAAATGTGGGCATTTATAAACTATCGTCTCTCTCCTTTTTCTCTTCAGCAAATAAAAGGCTGGTCGACACAACTTCATACAGATAATTCAGAGAAAATAACTTTCAGTGTGAAAAAAAGCAATGGCTCTACATTTTTTTAAATTCCATCTTCACATATTTTAGCCCCCTACTAAAAAATGAATAATTCCTACTGTTGCAGAAATATCAGCTCACAGCAGGTCTTTCGAGAATTGATTACTTCACAAAAGGCATTGTCCAAATTAATGGCAACTGAGTTTTACAGAAAAGATGAGAGTGCTATATGTAACACGGTCAGTGAGCACCTAATTCAATTCTAGATATGAGACTATTTGATAGCATAAATTATTGAAAACGTCATGTATGCATCTAACCACCATTGCAATAAATACAACCAACAACTACATCACATTAAATCCCGTTAAATGCCAGTTAAAATCACTATCAAGTTGTCATCCAGACACTGAAGAGCAAAATATGTGGAGCCAAATTGATTTTTTGACGTTACAACCAGAAATACACCATTTTGTCCAGTAGAAGAAGGAATAGTGTAAGTCATCCTGGAAGAAGACAAAGGAAACTGGGCTTTGCTTTCTTACGGAAAAATACTAGAAACTGTGACGTCTGGGTATGCCCATGTATGTCATCGCTTACCAAAGAGAGGGGTTAAAGCACCACTTTAACAATCATAGCAGCCTTTATAAGCTGAAGCAAAATCTTAAAATAATACACACACGATCCTTTTTCATTCCTTTGCTGGGTAAGAACTCGACGAATTGGAAAAATCATTCCTTTTAAACAATTTACATAAATATTTACAGTGGAAAAGCTATTTTGAATGTAAAGAACCATTTTTTAAAATTCACTTTTAAGATCAGGCATTTTCTGTTGCCATCCCATTCCATTCAACGATTGCATTTGAAAGGGCAAAGCCAACACTTACGTGTCATACACATTGAGCAGCCAGTTCAGGCACATATCCACACAGAGGGGCACGTTGACCAGGTCCTTATGTATTTGCTCCAGCCCGTCGTACGTTGTGGTCAGACAGTTGATGACATCCGGGACACTGAGGAGCTGCTCGTTCTGGGTCAGCTTATGCTGTTTGAAAACTTCGTCTGTCGTATTGAGCTCTAAGAGATCCACTAATCAGGCGGAGGGGGAGAAAAAGAACACACACATTCATTACATGAGAACAAAGCCATTTCCAGTCTCAAGCAGTTATTGTGATTCTTCGACTCAAGAATCTCTCCTTTGTAGGCACTCTGGTGGCTTCATGGGTTACGTGTTGGCTGCTCACCACAGGTCAACAGTTATTGAAACTGCCTTTGGGGAGAAAGATGAGGTTTTGTACCCTCGTAAAGATTTAATCTCGGAAACCCACTGAGGTGGGGCTACTCTGTCCTCCAACGTTGCCATGAGTCAGAAGTGACTCGATGACAGGTAATTCTGGGGGGTTCCTGGACCCAACCCGACCTCCCAATTCATCCATGATATTGCTACAAATGACTGGTTCTTCAGCCGAATGCCATGTGTACACCCTGAGATGCGACGTTCCTGCAAGATGTTTGGTGAAAACAATGGGTCTTTGCAAAAATCAACAGTTCTCTAGTGTCTACTGAGCCAGATCCGATTCTTGAGGCCCTCACCGTCTGGCTTTGCCCTGGGTTATTTCCCATGATGCTTCAGCAGACAGACCATATCTGACTACGCTGGACGACCAGAGGCTCACAGTGCAGGCTCCACCCACAGCCTTCGGGGGTCTTGCTATCTGTCCCCATCCTGACTCCCAATGCAGTAGTAGCATGACCAGGTGCTAGCACATCCACGTGCCCACAACAGAGTAAGGTTGAGGGGCCAAAAGTTGAGGAGAACATGTTATTTCTAATAAAACCGACTACTACTTCTTCGCCTGATGAAAGATGTTTCATAATGAATGTGACAAATTTGACAGTTAAAATGAAATGAACAAATAGCTTTGTTTTTTCATTGTAACCACTGACTAATCATTCATTTTGCATTTAAAAAACTGTTTATGGAACACGTCCACACCAGCAGCTTTCCACACCAAATAATGATTGGTCCCCCCCGCCAAATTATCTACAATGAAACAGAACTGCTTTAAAATTATATGCACTAAAGTGGTTTAAACAATTTCTCAACAGAGAAAATATATTTTAAAAAAGATAAGAGAGGGAAAGAGACCTGGGGTGGGGGGTGGGGTGGGAGGAGGCTCCACATAGGTCGGGATAAAAATCTAGTCCATTTCCTAGAGATGTTGATTTCTCTAGTTGGCAAAATTTAGGCTTAGAGCAAAATTAACCTGTGCATGCTTCAAATGAATCTGAAGGGGGGGAAAAAATCTAAGAACCACCTAGAAGTTTCATTGTGTCACAAGCCTCTGTTGACGCTGGACAGGGCAGAGGGTCAACTGGCTCAACCAACTGCTACGCCAACAGCTGGAGGTTCGAGGGTGAGAGAAAGGCCTGGCTATCTCACTGTGTTAGTCCGGGTAGACTAGAGAAACAAATTCATAGACACTCACAGGTGTAGAAGAAAGAGCTTATACACAAGAGCAAGTGAATATTGAGAAAACATCCCAGCCCAGTCCAGATCAAGTTCCTAAGTCTGATATTAGCCCATATGTCCGATACCCATCTATAAATTCCTCTTCAGACTCATAAAACACAAGCAATGATGCCATATACAGGACGATCACAGGCCAGTGGATGGGATGTCTTGTGGATCCACTGGTGTTGTAAGCATCTCAGTGCTGGCAGGGGTCTCCACGTAGCTCTTCCAGCTCAGGGCACTAGCCTAGCTCCATGTGTCTTGACAGCTGCAATGTCTCGCAGGGAGTGAGCCTGTGTCCCGCCTCCAGTGAGCTATTTATCTCCTTAGTGCCTCCAAATGAGGTCATCAAACTGTGACCTGATTGACAGGCTGAACTCCACCCCTTCACTCTTAATCCTCTCAAATTGACAATAGTTTATGTAACTCTCACACTTGCCTATGTAAAACCAGCCACTGAAAATGTTCTGAAGCACAGTTCTACGGGGACACAGAGGAGTGGCTACTGCCTCTCCGGCAGCTGTGGGTTTTCACCTTGTTCCTTGGAACTTCACTCAGCTTTCCTTTCAAGCTTCTAGGGCGCAGGGGCGCTCAACGAATTCCTCCTTCACGGGGTCTGACAAAGGAAAGGCCACAATTCCCCCACAGACACAAACAACCTGCCAAACATGCTACACTTGCTCTCAGCTGTCTGAATCGTAATGTTAATTGTGCCAGGAACGACTATTTCCTGGATCAGGCTGTCTTTGCCTTTCTCCCAGAGAAGTCTCCTGTGCTAAATACGGGGGTGGGGGGGCTGTGACCAGGATTTGCCGCATCTCACGGAGGACTCATGCCTTCGGTTCTTAGTGATTCACTCTGACACTTTGTCTCGACGCCTGAGCCAGGCATCCATCTTCGTGAAAGGTGTCACATGTAGGCACCTTTAAAGAACTGACTACACTTACACTGCAGGAAATGATCGTTTTCTCTGTTCAAAAGGAAGACAAATGACAGCTCAGTCGTCGGGGTACAAGAAACAACCCACAGGATCATTTTCTAACTGCCGTTCAGTCTTTTTCTTTCATCCACACGAGAGGCAGAGGGAGTCACCTGGCAACGCATCGCCGTGCTCCTGTTCTGCAGCAGTGAACACCTTCCAAGTCTGCCACTCCCCTCCCGATTGTTTATCTGTTTGGCCATTCCACCTCAGCATCTGTCCTAACTCATCTTCGCCGGGTATCACAGACAGAATGCAATAGAAAGATGATGTGCCCCCCCCCCCAACATTGTATCAGTGGTACTCAAGGCTTTCTATCTGATCTTCCACACCACAAGCCTGTGTTCACCTTCATGATGTTAACTCTAAATTCTATTTGCTCTATTCTGATCCACATGCCTGTTGCCTAGGTCCTAATTAGGGCAATATCTTTTAGGAACCTCTGCCTTAATACATCACAAATAAGTAGCATAGTTTCTTGTTAAGCTAAGATAGGGCGATTATATTACAATATTCGACAGGCTACGAGTCTGAAATCCTGAGATAGCCAACGTCTCTCTTTTTCGCCTTCATATAACCCACAGCCGTCCCTCCGGCTCCAGGCAGACCTGCACACATCCCTAACTCACCTCCTCTCCTACCTCTGCAGCCCAGCCTGGGTTACCTTCCGCACTTCCCACTGATCTTCAATCTGCCTTGGATATTATCTAAAGCATATATCTGTCTTGATCTCTACACTTCCATGAAACAGAAAACAGTAAGCCCCCCCATCCTACACAAAATAGTATCAAACATTAAAAATAACACTATACCAGCATCAGGAAAAGGGGCATATGGAATCAGAAATAGTTTATGAAAAAAGATCTGTGAACTGTACCCAAAATGACTGTGTCAGTCAGTACCTAGCCAATGTTTCCCTAAGTAGTTGATACAGGGGAGTTGCAAAAGCAGATACCTATTGGGGGCACACCCCCCAGAAAAACCCCTGGAATTCTCCACTGCGCCCCCAAGCTATGTATTTACTTTTTTTTAATAAATCAACCTAATTGCCTTTAAAGTACTCTCCATTACACTTAATATATTTGTCAAATCTGCAATTCCATTCTTGGAAACATTTTTCAAACTCATGTTGGATGGCTGACAGCACCTTCCTTGTTTTTTTCTTCACCTCTTCTATGTCGTCAAATCACGGTCCTTTCAAATCACTATCCTTTCATGTCCCTCTTCATTCGTGGAAACAAAAAGAAGTCACACAGAGCAGATTCAGGTGAGTAAGGTACGTGGGGCAAGAGAGGCATGCTGTTTTTTGCCAAACACTGGTGCACTGAGATGGGTTGCAGAGCAGGTGCATTGTCATGGTGCCAAAACCAGTCCCGTCTGCCACAAGTCAGGCCTTTTTTAAATCACACACTGTTAATGCAATCTTTTCAGAACCTCTAAATAAAAAGCTTGATTAACAGTCTGACTTGATGGAATCAACTCCCAATGTACTTCAAGTCGACATTATCATCCATTTGGGAAATTGACAGACATCCAGAACAAGGTTTGTCATCAATCGATATTTCAGTTTTTTTGAACCAAAAAAACCCACTTCTGCACTTGAGTTTTTCCCATAGCACTGTCCTTGTAAGCTGTGTTCAGCATCACAACAGTTTCTGGGGCATTTTTCCTGAGTAGGAAACAACATTTCACAGCTGCACACTGTGCTCTTAAATATCAGCCATCAGGGGTCCAGTGAAACTGTTTTTGTTAAAAAAACTCACTGGGACCAGAGAGACCCTTTCCAGCTGACACCACTGGCTGCACTAACTCAGAGCAGGCTGCTCAATGCTCTCCTAGCAGGAAAAATGGGTACTACAAAGGCTCAGCCCAGCAGAGCTGTTTCCTTTTTTCTTGGGGGGCAGGGGGTGTACCCCTTGTATACTTTATCCTGGAGTATGTGGCTAACGTACTGAAGCCCTGGGACACTGAGTAACTTTTTTCTTAAAAGGGGGAAGGAGGTAAAGTAAGTTTAGAAACCTATGCTATACTGTTGTTGTTAGGTACCATCAACTTGGTTCCGCCCCATCGTGATCCCGTCCAACAGAACAAAGCACTGCCCAGGCCTGTCCTATCTTCACAAGAGTTCCCATACCTGGGCCCACTGCTGCAGCCACTGTGTCCATCCGTCCATCTCCTTGAGGGTCTTCTTCGTCCCCGCTCCTCTCCCAAGCATGGTGTCTTTCCACAAGGACTGGTCTCTCCTGTCAACATGTTCAAAGTACGCAAGAAGGGGTTTTGCCATCCTTGCCTCTAAGGAGCACTCTGGACATACTTCTTGGAAGACAAATTGGTTTGTCCTTTTAGCAGTCCATGGTACTTTCAGGATTGTTCTCCAGCACAATTCAAATGCACCGGTTCTTCTTGGGTCTTCCTTATTCAAAATCCAAGTTTCACATGCATATGAAGCCATTGAAAGCACATGGCTTGGGTCAGGCTCAGCACGGACCTCAAAGTAGCACCCTTGCTTTTCACCACTCTAAAGCAGTCTGTGTAGCAGATTTACCTAATGCCATGCATCTTTGGATCTCCTGACTGCTGCTTCCGTAAGCACTGCTTGTGGATCCCAGCTAAACAAAAACCTCAACAACGTCAATATTTTCTCCAGTTGTGATTTTTGCAAGGAGGCTTATTGCAACCCGTGATATGCAGATGGATGACACAACCGTGCTGAAAAAGAGCAGGACTTGAAGCACTTGCTGATGAAGATCAAGCATTACAGCCTTCAGTATGGATTACGACAATGTAAGGAAGACCACAATCTTCACAACTGGTCCCAAGACTTAGACACCCGGCAAACAGTTCACAAGTCCTCCACTCAGACAACATTACTGGCTGTTCCCTGACTTCTTACTAAGCCAAGTCATTCTTTTCCTGCCTGATTCGTCATGTGACTAATCCTGTGTGCCTGAAAGGGCTGTGAAGGGCTGACCAGTCTGCCTTCTTGTGAAAAAGCTTTAGATACAAAGAATCTCTCCCTGCTCTGAAAGTGTTTCTTTTTGCCTTTCTTTTACTTCTATCACACGGCAACAGTGAACTACAGGACAATAAATATGTATACTATATATGTAATTCAAAGAATAATAGAAAAAGTACCTCCTAATCTATTACATAAAGAAATAAAACACTGCCAATTCCTTTAAAGTCACACTTGTAAAACCTCTTTAATTATACCCCTTTCAGTCACCGAGGTAACCTTAACCTCTATATTTAAATGACCTTTAAAAGTGAAAAAAAAAAAGAATCCTAGATAATAAAAATTCCTCATGTGTTTGAACTATAAATCAATTAAATTGAACTATATAAATTCACTGCTGAATTTGGTGTTTATACTTCAACCTTATAACTCTAAGATTCAGCCATTTAGTTGTCCTGCTACTGCAAATCACATTTATAAATATTCCAAAACAAAATCACTTTTGTTGATAATGCTGCTGGATGCCTTCTTATACACATATGTTGGTGTATGCATCTTTCCAAGGCTGTACATCCACACAGGAGAAGAAAGTCTCATCTTTCTCCCACAGAGCAGGTGGTGAGTTTGAACTGCTGACTTTGGGGTTAGCAGCTCTACATGTATTTCACTATGCCATCAATGCTCCTTTCCCATATAGCTTTTGGGAGACCATTTGGGAGACCAGACCAAATCAGTGCCACCAAGTCATTTTGACTTCCACTAACCCTATAGAGCAGGGGTTCTCAACGTTCCTTATGCCGCGACCTTAAAATTATTTTCGTTGCTACTTCATAACTGTCATTTTGCTACTGTTAGGAATCGGAAAACCCCTATAAAAGGGCCATTCAACCCCCAAAGGGGTAGTGACCCACAGGATGAGAACTGCCGCTATATAGGGTTTCTTAGTAAATCTTTATAAGAGCAGATCGCCTCATCTTTCCCCCAAAGAGCAGTTGGTGGGTTTGAACAATCAATTTTGCAGTTAGTAGCCCAATGCCTGACTCACACCACCACCAAGTGTCCTTATTTATGAACCCAGATAATAAATCATAAAGATACCATTAAAAATGATGCATTGCTTAGAAGGTGACCAGATTTTAACATTGGTAAAGTGGGATACCATTGATAAAACTCATAATGAGTTTTATGGCAAAATAACCACATGGCAGCCGAAAACCGTATACCCTAGCTTGTCGTGCATTCTTTCCAAAAATCGGGACTTTTTAAAAACGCCGCGGGACACGGTAAAAATTGTTAAAAATAGGGACTGTCCCGCCAAAAGCAGGATGTCTGGTCACCTTAAACTAAACCACAAATTACAACTGTTTACTTTAAGCACTGGGCTCTTTTAAAGAACTGTCTGTAGGAGACCAAATAAACAACTGTAACAAAAACACAGATGAGACCTCCAAGTGGGTGGAGAGTAAGTTATTGGGAGAACACAATATGGGCAGCAATGAGAGCATGGTAGCACATTGGGATGTCAACACTACCCATGAACTGTGCATGCAGAAATTGTTGGGCGGACCTCTGCTTTGCTGTATCGATCTTCACACTGAAAAATTTAAAAATTATGTTAAGTGGTACGTTAAAAAAAAAAAAGGCTGGGCACGAAGACATGGAACATCAGTAGTGCTGGGTTTTAGAGCAGCCACAGAAGCCTAGAGTCTAGAAGTGGGCAGCATTAACTTGAGGCCTCAGGAGGAGAAAGTGCCACCTGTGGGAGGCATGTCAGCAAGAAGAGCGAGGACGAGAGCTCTCTGCGCAGAAAAGCAGCATACAGGGCTTGCCCCGTCAGGCTAGAGCTCTGTAGTCTCCGGGGAGGGTGGTGGACATTGTGGGCTCTGGTGCTTGGAGGCAGGGATTCCCAGAGACAAAGCCCACTCCATTCTCTGCGCAAGGGGGATCTGCTGTAAACAGGAAACCTCTTTGTGTCCCTTTTATGAATGTAAGGTTTTCCGTGCACAAACAAGGCCCTTCATACTATTTCATGTTGTGCACGATCTATATGAATGGACAGTGATGGAACAAGGACAGCGGGGCACTGTGCTGCGTGGGATTTTCACAAAGGGAGCGGCAACCTCTGTCCTAAGTCATTTCCCAATAGAGACAAGGCAACCCTTCCGACATCCACCTATCACCCACCGACAAGCACATTCCACTCAATGAGAGAAACGGCCGTTAACAAGCGATCGTAAAAATCTGGGGAAAAGTTGAGGCAGGTGGAATTAGCTTGTGAACAGTTCCACAAAAAGTAAATGTTTAACACTACTGGGAGACAGACAATCGCAGAGGGAGGGTCAAGGCATTTCAAGTCAATACAAAAGACTAGACGGAAGGAGTAGCTTAATCATCAACAGATGAGCTTGGTGAGTGGCGCCAAGGCCCCCAGTTGGAAAGTCGGTGGGGGCAGAAGGCAGCTGGAAGAGGAGAGAGCAGGTGTGGTTCTAAGAACATCACCTGGCAGGCGCAAACCCAGATATAATCAGCACGCTGCACCTGTGCACTCCTAAACCCCATCACCTTCAGGGGGTGGAGGGGCTTGTCTCATGCTCCTCTCAAGTTTGAAAAGATGAAACAACAGCATCAAGGGCTCATGCTCACCCTCTTGGGGGTCAAAAGAACCAACCAAAAAAAGTGCCGAATGGACTCGTCTGTCTATCCATCCAGAAGTTTTTACTGACAACTGAGACCATGTTGGTATCAAGGCAAAGCTGCCTCCTGCATGGGAGAGTGCGTGGCTAGGTCATCTGTCCTCATTTTAAAGCTCATGGGGCCCCGGAAGACCTTCTCAGGTTCATCAGCTGGGTAAAGGGCACGCAGCTGAGCCTCCTTCAAGCGTGCTGTCACCCCACACAAACTAAACACCCTGACTGTGTGTTTCGAATTCACTTCCTAGACCCTTCTGGCTCGGCACGCCGATCTCTGGCCAGTGTGCGTGGGCTTTCACGCTTGGTGCTGGTCACGGCAAACCACCTGCTCCAACTCCCACAACCTATTGGCTGGGGCTCTGCTGATGGTCAACTGTGCAGGACGGCCTCTCCTCCTTCTAGGACCTCATCTGGAGATGTCTGTCCATCCTTCAGACTTCGCTAGCGCACGAAGCCCAAGCTTATTTTCAAGTTCTCGCGGCTGTTTTCTCACGCTGCGCTTCTCTTCTACTCAACTCTTGGTGTAGCCAGCTTGGAATCGACCGCCATTTCCATGGAATTCTAAGGAGCTGATTCTTCAACCTCACACATCCTTCAAAGTGTAATCTTCAAAGTTTCACTGAATTGCCTAGACTTATATATAACAAATGTTAGGGGGAAGGTGGCAAGCACGGATGCAAGATGGAATTATTCCAATTACCCTTATTTTCAGAGTGTAGGCAAAAATCACCTTCCCTATTAACTATCTGGCAAGACCTGCACGCTCTTTGCACGGTCATTAAAGCGGTGACAACTACGCTCTTTGACAGGCATTTGTATTTCTACTTAATTTTAGGTTACTTTCGGGGGAGTGGGGATGGGGGATTAGAAAAGTTCACCTTTGGGTAAATGATGATGACAGATGATCACTCTGAACATGCTCTCCTCAGAAAATTCATGTTGATAATATTAACTGTCTCAAGAGATATTTAGTGAAGCATAGTTCCTTTTACCAGGTTTTCTTGGGTGCCAGTTCAAAGCTGGATCAACAAGATGATTTTGAGTGATTTCTCATTACACGATACAGGATATGAAAGAAGTCCTAATGGCACGGAGGGTTAAGCATATGCGCTGCTAACCACAAGGCAAGGGGTTCGAAGCCGACCAGTTGCTCCATGGAAGACAGATGAGGCTGTGCTTCCATCAAGGTGCATCGTCAGGAACATTAGAGCAGATCTGCTCTGCCCTGTGGGGTTGCCGGGAGTTGGAACTGACCTGGATGGTTGTCCTGTGTCAATATTTGGAACCCGCCACTTGCAGATGGCAACAAAGTACTAAACAAGCAATGACCAGCTACTTTGCATTTTTCAATTCAATCTTTCTAAATCAGTGGCAGTGTGGCTTTTGAAAACAATTTTGCTCGTGTGCTTTGGTTACTTTTTGTTCCACAGCAGAGAGAGACACTTAGCCCTGTTTCACTCTTGCATGCTATTAGGGCAAACATGAAAACATCTATAGAAACATGGCCAACTCCATGAGTAAGATATAAGGAAATCAGATTAGCTCTAGAATACATCACCCTCTTCATTTATCTCTGCCCTCCCCGCTCCCTCAGGCAATCCAACGTGCAGAATGATTAAATTTGGTGGAATAACTTACGGCATAGTGCTTTTTGTAGCCTTCGGATTTTGATGGCCGTCCGGTAGGCAGAGAAACGTACGTTGTTCAGGTCAGCTGAAATGGCAAGGGCAACAACTCAAAAGCACGCTTCTTACGGAACTTACATCAAGTGCCAAGAATACATCTACCTACTCGATGATGGAAAAAGATGTGGGGCCTTCACAAAGTTCATGGACAAACAGAACGAAAATATAATGGGCTTTTTCCATGAACTTTTTGAAGCCTTCTCGTATGTCTTCAGGCATTAAAAAGTCCCCTCCTAGGTGCCCCAGCACTTATTTGAGAAAGCACTTCAATGCACCTTAGCACCAGGTTGAGGCACAGGTAAAAGCACTGGTGCAAAGATGATTTCAAGAAAGTTAATTTCAAAAAGCAGAGTGGGAAAAACACAGCTTCTTGGATTTGGGTTGCTTAGTGAGCACCTCATACTAAAGGCTGAATGCACTACCTGCCCCACTGCTGACTCGGGCTCTTCTCCAGGGGAAATCTTCCCAAGGACACTACTTTTCTGTCCACCAGTCTCACTATTCACGAAGCTAGTTGTATCTGTACATTCCATCCACCGGATCTGCTTCTTTCCCCTTTAACAGATCCAAATAAAATAATCCTCTAATCAACAGTTACAGTTGGGGAAACAATGGATATTGCCGTTTATTTTTCTGCCGACTAACAACAGAGTATCAGACATGGGAAGAGTGTGGAGGAAACTCAGACATCAAGAAATTTTACCAAGTAAGCAAACCATTGTGGTCGCCTTCCTGGTTGTTTAACCTTTGAAGCCCCTCCTTCACCCACCCAAAGAAGTTTACTACATAAGGAGATAAAAATGGTGCCCATCGAATGGAAATGGGGAGCCTTAGGGTGCTGTTCCCTGTCTCCAGCCGGTCCTGAGCTACCCAAACAGGAAACTCTTAAAAGAACCACTGGAACCCATCAGTTCAAGGTCATGGTCTAGGGGAAATTAAAAGGAGAATTCTCATCTAAAGCCTTTTCCTGCATTTTTCTCCCAAAATGAATCAAGTTCGTAATGACTAGGCCAAAATAAAACGAAGGGAGCTAATTTTGTAACACTTACTAAATTAAAAGTGAACTAAAAGGAAACTTAAAGCAGTGGGTAGGACAGTGCTGTGCTATCAATCCCCACCCCACCCCCTTTCCCTTTTCCAGGTAATGTGAAGCATAAGCTGACTCCTCCATCACAGGGGGCCAAGACCTCCAGTTACAATTCGCCTTGTAAATCCATTCTCTTTGGCTCACACTACCTCAAAGCACGCATTTCCTTGGAAGCTAAACTGCTTTTAGATGTCAGGGACATGACTTTAAACAAACCAAGCTAGCTGGTTAGTTGTTTCCAGTTAAGAATATACGGTTGATTCTTAACTTTCAGGTTATTTCCTTGATATTAAAAAATATATACTCACCAAGGGATTGAAAGAGTTCGGTCATTTTTGGATGATCCCAACAGGTGGTTTGTGTTTGATGACTGCAGGGGGAGAAAGAGGTAAAATTCAAAGAAGAAGAAGAATTTGATTTCCATACTTTTAAACCCTTATCTAAAAATATGTCCACCATGTATCAGTAACCAAAGAACCAATGGCCGCTTGATACCTGGAAATAGCAGGACGTTTTCTGTAAGCAATTATATTGTGCAAAGAAATTCCAAGTCCGGGGCCTTCTAGTAAATTCTGACTCACAGCGACCTTAGAGAGGGAATCCAAAGCGATACATCTTTATGGGAGAAGCAAGCCTCATCTTTCACCCACAGAGCATTTAGGATAGAAAACTGAATTGCAAGTAAGATATAAGACCTAGGTATCATGTGTGACACCCATGGCCTCTTGGCATAGCGATTGAGCACCAGCTGCTCACAAAAGGTCCATGGCTCTGCAGGAGAAAGGTGTGATTGTCTGGGCCTGTGAAGACTCGTCGCCATGGAAACCCTATGGGGCAGTTCCACTGTCCTATAGGTACACTATGAGTCAGAAGCCACGCAACACTTGTGGTGTGTTTGGTCATGGCTTCTGATGCTCTAGGATGGAAGTGGTCAGACCACAGTCAGGGCATCAGCCCAATTCCACTCTGTGGAGTAGATGCAAGATGTTCTCCTTGACTACAAATTCTCTGACAGCAGAAATGCTGGAAACAGCTGCTGAACCTGAGAAGTCCTGATCAAATTTCCAATGAGGAGAGGAAGAGCGTCACTCTGGAAACCTCCCGGCCTCACAATCTACTAACTCCCGCCAAGTCCACCTGGGTCCTTTCTTCACTTTAGCCATGCACAGCCACCCCTTTCTCCTCACGTTTCTCTGCATTTCACCCACATAGGAATGCCCCTTTCCCTCGTCAGTTTCTCTTTCCCGCTACTAACATTAAAAAAAACGTATCTACTGAAATGTCTTTCTCATGATCGTTATTCTTCGTGTAAAAAAGCAAGTTTCCTGTTTTCCAAGATCTTCACAATCTAGTTAGGTGTTTTTTTGGTTTAGGACCAAGACTTGGGTAAAAGAGATGGAGAAATGTGGTGTTTAAAATAAGTTCTTGTGTGTGTGTGTGTGTGTGTGTGTGTGTGTGTGTGTGTGTGTGTTGAACAGCTCATAATCTCAATGGATCAGTGGCCTTATATTTAAAAATAGTTTACTGTCCCTTATCTAGGTCAGAATAGAGTAATAACATTTAATAGTACTCAACAGACTTCTTGGATGTCACTCGGTTCTTACAAAACTGTTTGGTAAGCAAAGAGAAATGGCACAGTACCCAAGAGAGGATGGTATTACAATATTCATACAAACAAATTCAGGAGAAATTACCTTCTTAAAAACATCTATGTAATATATCAAAAAGTAGGGCACGTCACTAGAAATTGAACACGATCACCATTTATAAACATAGGTAACAGAATCTCCAAAGAACTCACAATTTGCTTTGAAAACTGATTTACATCGTCTTCAATGGGGTAAGTAAAATGTCTGGGAAATGCCAAACTCCGAAACAAAGTAGCAGAACCAGACTGTGAAGCGCTTACTCGCTGACTCAGGAGCGGAGAAGTTAGCTGACTCTCCTCCCTGGTCCGGGCCTCTAATGGTGAAGCAAGCGTGGAAGGTCTACCATCTAGAGCTAACGTCCAATGAAGACTTTCTATGCTTTGCTCCCACGGCTGTGGAGAAAGTACTGGCGTTCTGCTATTCACAGTGGTGGTAGGTGCTGTCCAGTGGGTTCCAACTCACAGTGGCCCGATGTACCAAACCACCAGGCGGCCTGGTCCTGCACCATCCTCACAATTGAGTCTGAGCTCAGTGTGGCAGCTGCTGGCCAAGTCATCCCCCTGAGTGTCTTCCCCCTTTTCACGCCGCTTCCACTTGACCACGCATGATGTCTTTCTCCAGGGCTGGGTGCTCCTGATGACATGTCTAAAACACGCGAGACGAAGTCTCACCATCCTCACTTCTGAGAAGCGTTCTGGCTGTACTTCTACCAAGACAAATTTGTTTGCTCTTCTGGCAGTCCTTGGGACTGTTAATACCACGATGCGGTTCACAGCTTGTTAGCATAAGGAATCTTGGGTCCTTCCCCAAGTTTATTGAGTTAGAATCTTCATTTTAAAATCCCCAGGAGATTCTTGTATATATCAGAGTTTGAGCAACACTAACAAAGGCATGTATCAGTCCCTGCATGGGCTACACTCCACTAGTAACCTACAGTTTAGGGATTCATAACTACCCAGTAGAAAGAAAGGACACTTGGAAGAAAGGTCTGGCAATCAGCTTCCATAAATATTAGCCCAGAAAACCCTACTCAGTCACCCAGAGACCATGGGACGCCATTGAACCTGGTTTTTGTTGTTGTTGTTTTAATACAAGAATAGAAATTTCTGGGTTGTACAAATAGCACTCAGCTACTAACTAAGAGGTTGGCTATTTAAACCTATCCAGTAGTCCAGGGGGCCTCAAACTTTTTAAACAGGGGGTCAGTTCACTGTCCCTCGGACCTGTTGGAGGGCCGGACTATAGTTTAAAAAAAAAACAACTATGAACAAATTCCTATGCACACTGCACATATCTTATTTTGAAGTAAAAAAAAACCAAACAGGGCACAAACACCTGGCGGGCCAAATAAATGTCCTCGGTGGGCCGCATGTGGCTCCTCCCAGTCCCTCAGAAGGACAGGACTTACGGTCTGCTTTGGGAGCTGACCGCCATGAACACCCCATAGGGCGCAGGTGTACTACACACCCCCAGGGTTGTCCTGAGTGAGAACTGACGAGACAGCAAAGCGGCTGGACTTTTAAAATATGTGAACAAAAGTTTTAAAAAGTGGGGACTTATGAAGAAGAGCGCAGCATCAGGAGTGGATTATATGAGGAAGAGTGTGGCATCAGGAGTGGATTATATGAGGAAGAGTGTGGCATCAGGAGTGGATTATATGAGGAAGAGTGTGGCATCAGGAGTGGAGGAAGGCAGTATGCAGATGACACAACCTCGTTTGCTGTGAGGAGGAGCAGAAGCACTTGCTGGTGAAGATCAAGGATTGTAGCCTTCAGTAAGGATTACAACTCAATGTCAATGTCAGGAAGACCCAAATCCTCACAATTGGACCAAGAGGTGACATCATGATAAACGGAGAAAAGGTGGAATTGTCAAGGACTTTGTCTCACTTGGATCCACAATCGATGCTCATGAAAGCAAAAGTCAAGGGATCCAGAGGCATATTGCATGAGGTAAACCTGCTGCACAAGAATTCTTCAGCGTTTTGAGGAGCAAGGACGTTGCGGTAAGGTCTAAGGTGTGCCTGACCCAGCCCATGGTATTGTACTCTCCACGGTCTCATGCTTGTGAGAGTTGGACGCTGACTGAGGAAGATCGCAGAAGAATCAACACGCCTGAATTTTGGTGCTGGAGAAGAATATTCGAAGTATCATGGACTGATAAAAGTACAAATCGATCCATATTGGAGGAATAAAGCCAAAGTGCTCCTTAGAGGCAAAGATGGCAAGATTTCATCTTACATACTTTGGATGTGTTGTTAGCAGAGTCCAGTCACTGGAGAAGGATGTCATGTGTGGTAAGGGGGAAGGGTGATCAAAAAGAGAGGCCCTTGATGAGATGGATTGACACAGTGGCTGTATCAATGGGCTCAGGCATCGGAATGATTGTGTTTCACTCTGCTGTTCATAGGGTTGAATGAAAGAAGAATTTGCAGGCAATATCTGAAATAAATCTTAGTCAAAAAATATTAGTCCACTAGGATACAACTGATCTCAACCCTTCTCTGAGATAATTTTGATTACTATGGCGACACCATTTTCCAAGGACAGATATCCTGTCCTTAAGAACCAAACCAAGAGCCACCCTACTGTCTCAGAGCTTCTACACCAAAACCCAAACAAGATTCACTGCCATCGAGTTGATTCTGACTCATGGCCACCCTCGAGGTCACGGTAGAACTGCCTTTGTGAGGTTCTGAGCCTGTAATTTCCACAGGAGTAGAAAGCCTCATCTTTCTCTCTTGGAGCAGCTGGTGGTTTTGAACTGCTGACCTTGCTTGGGCTTAGCAGCCCAACACATAACCACTAGTCCACCAGGATTCACACTGCTCCTAAACACCTAGAATCACTGGTGGGGGACTTTGACCCCATACAACCCCTGTGGACCACCAGGGTAGGGGTCAATTCGACAACCCAGCCTACCAGAGACTGAGGATTCAGAACAGAAACATGCCTCTGCTAACGGCCCCCACTTTAGTGCAACCCAGAGGAGCAGCAGAGGGACCACACACATTTGGCAAACAGATGAAGAAAGGGAAAGGGCATCTCCCTCGGTGAATTCAATACCAGTTGATTTGTTAGGTGGAACTGCCAGCACTGAAAATAAACACAGCCTCTGGTTACAAGAGCAGAGCTACAGCTTACCAAACAATGGCTTAAAAAAAAAAAGTCCAGTTGGCTCTTGTTGGATTTTCTTTCTTTCTGGTAAGGAGAAGGGGTTGTTAAAGGAAAATTCACAATCAACCTAAAGGCTCCAAATAAATGCTCCCAGCCTCTTAGGGCAGGCAACCAGAACGTGATAAAAGTAGCACTTTCCACCACTGGCCCGTGAAATAGGAACGATGGCGGTTCAGAACAAGCTCACATATGAAAGGGGAGTGGGGCTTAGTAGTATGCTGTTTGAAAAACTTAAAACTATCACACTGTAAATAAAAATGCTTTTTTTTAAAAAGGCATTGCCTGAGACACAAGAATTTGCCCACAGATAAAGTGAAAAATTAAAAATCTAACCAGAGTACACTGCCTATGAGCCGATTCTGACACACAGTGACACTACCGGGCGGAGCAGAACTGCCCCCGGAGGTTCCCGAGGCTGCAAGTCTTCGCGAGAGCACAAAGCCTCATCCTTCTCTGGTTGAAGGGCTGGTGGGTCCAAAATACTGATCTTGGGATTTAGCAGCCCAGTGTGCAACCTACTGCCAACCAGGGTTGCTAGGACTTTA